TTTCTGTATTCACAGGCTGTGCATCTGTGCATAGTCCTGTGGCCTCTTGGCCCTTATACAGTGTGTGAGTGGCCCAGAACTGGTGGGGCAGTTGGAAGCCTACAGGAAGTGAGTAAAAACACAGACAGGGTGTGTGTGGGGGGGGTGGGGGGGGGTGGGGTGCGCAAATCCACTGCCGCCCCCCATACCCCCACTACAGAAATGTAACCTGTTCTCAGATCCTTTGCCAGCAGCTCCACCAGGGAGGAGCTTGCCTGGAGGAGTCTTGCCTGGAGGACTATTTAGCTTCTTCAGAAACCCCTCGTTTTGGGGACTCCCCTGTGCACGGCTTTGGCATGTCCTAATCTCCAAAGCCAGCTCCTGAGCTAACATTCCCCCTCCCCTCCTCGCCCCATTTTTCAGAGGAGGAAACCGAGGCACAGAGAGTTCAGAGTCCAGTAGGAGCTGCAGGAGCGTGAGGGTGTCAGGGATGCCAGGCAGGCACCAAGAAAAGACAGGTCAGACACCCAGGCGCCACCACGCTGGAGACAGCCTTTCTGGGCAAGGTTTCCCCTGGTGGGAAACTTACATTTCAGGGGCCTGTGGGCACCACGTTAACCCACAGAGAATCACATGATAGGAAAGCTGTTTCCTTTTTGAATAAGTCACATGACTGGCTTGTCTCTGGGGCCATCTAGCAATTTTTAAAATCTGCTATTACTTATAAAGCACTTAATCCAGACCGGGTCTGTCTGTAGGTGCTGTGCCTATTTCAACTCGTTGACTCTGGGAAACCCCTAGGAGGCAGGTTCGTCTCTGCTCCCCATTTACAGGGGGGAGGCTGAGGCACAGCTAACCTGTAGCTCAGCAGAGATCCAGGGCAGGAGAAGGTCTCTATGGCTGCTAATGTATCTTTAACACCTCATGGCCCTGAGGTTTATCCAGCTAGCAACCATGGTGTTATGTTCCTTGTGTTGTTATTTTAAGTTTAGGGAGTCCCAGGGAAACAAAAAGGGTTTTCCAGTGATAACACTGTTAATGTAAAAACATTCAAACCTGTATAGAATGTTTGTGAGTTTATTTGAGCCAAACTGTTGTGGACAAAAGGGGCCACATGCTGACCTGACAAGCTCAGGGGAGGCCTGCATGGTGGTCTTGCAAACTCAAAGACCTAAAGTAACCACAAAGGATGGTCTGAAATTAAATTTTAAATTGTGGGCAGTTACGTCCTAGGCCAGTATCTTCACTGACAAGGTCAACCATTACCTTAACTGAGCCTATCTGTCTTGTTGCATCTATGATAACATAGACTTGAAACATCTGGGTAACTTGTAACTTCCCATTTTCTGCAGTCTCTGGAGCACAACCAAATGTGCTAGGCGCCAAGACAGATGCCACAAATTCCTTCATTATCATGTTAATTAATCCTGCACCCACCTAAGTATGTGTCCATCATTTTACTTTTTATCCAATCCCAGGGGTTTCCCCTGCTTTGTTTTATCCCTCCTCCTTAATCTATCACCGATGAATTTCATGTAACCCACCTACATTCCTCCTTTGATTGCAATGTATAAATACAAATG